TGACAGTAATAAAAAATAAAAACCAGATAAAAGGCAAACAAGAAAAAAAGGAGGTTTTAGGCTATCAGTAGAGTTCTTGGATCATTAGTACAAGTAAAATATTTTAATAAACTTAATCATGTTTCAGCAAGTAAAATATATATAAAGTTTATGGATCTTTAGTACAAGTAAATTACTGATAATTATAAAGCTGCATAAATGCCATCATATTTCATAGGGAACTTACGTATGATCTACAAAAATCATCACTGCATGACCAGAAAAATTTAAGTTTGGGTTGACCTGAATTTACGGGTATGGGTTCAGTTTAGGAATCATAACCCATTTAATTTTTTGGGTTCATTCACTAACACGAACTTGAACTTTTAACTTGAAATTCAGTCTAAACTAGGGCTTTAAATTTAGATTGAAGGTCGTTAATCGTTGGAAAATTGATTGAAATATTGGCTCAGATCGAGATTGTGTTGAAATAAACGAGCCAGGCTAAGAGCCAAAATTTTGGATCAAATTTTTTTCAAGCCAATTTCGAGCCGACCTGCTCGGCTTAAAATCAGATCGTTAAGAGCTTTAGTGGTGCTAAGGGTGTGAATTTAACAAATTTAGCGCGAAGATCATTAATCGTTCGAAAGTTTATTCGAATTTTGGCTCGGATCAAGATCTAATCGAAATAAACGAGTCGAACAACGAGCCAAAATTTTGAATCAAATTTCTTAGAGCCAATTTTGAGCTGAGCTGAGGCTCTAAATCAGATCGTTAACAACCCTAATTGAAACCGCCAAACAAACACAAGATTAACCCAATTAAATGTTATTTTATGTTAAATGGTTATACGGGTCAGGTTCAGGTCAGTAAGATGGTTTCAGGTTGGACTTTCATGAACTCACTTTGACTCCCTTACTTTGGTGCATGTAAAAAGATGAGTGAACCCTCGCTTCGAAACCAATAATCTATCAAATCACAATTGTTGTGGAGAGCATTTCAAATTTCTTGTAGACTTAGGAGGCAACCACAAAATTGGATTAGCATTAATTAAAACACTAAGTAGAAACAAATAAAAAAAAAAAGCTCAGAACAAAAATTATATTTTTAAAAGTGAAATATACATTTTCATTTATACCGCCCAAATCATTAATATCACATAAAAATATCTCTATTTTAACTTATAAAAAGTGAAATAAACCTTTTCATGCATAGGTGAGTTGACACATATACATATATGTAAAAATTGAAGTTTAGGTGATGGACACGTAAGTACATAAGAATTAAGAGGTATATGTACGTAGATCATCGATAAAACTAATAGCTATCAACAATACAAGCAACATGAAATGGTTAAGAAAAGCCTGTTCTGCAGATGAAGCATGAGCAAGCATTGAAGAACTCAAATGAAATACAGAGTGAATAAATTACACAACAAAAAAAAAAAAAAAAACATGATCAACACCCCTGACTTGTATAATAAAGTTATCAACTTTTTTATTCAGTTTTCTCAAACGTTTTTTAAGAAAATAAAATGCTTTCATCATGCGCACTCTAGTCATATATAATGAAGAGCAGGTGTAAATAATTTCAAGCAATACATATAAAAACTCCTCATTTCTAATAAAAACTCCAAAAGGAAATAGGGGAAACTTGTATGCATTACCATAATTCTTATGTCTTTACATATCCATCACCAAAATTTGATATTTAAACTTATAACACCTTGGTGTCACAATCCTATGCATACAAAACAATTCTTATGTATTTACACATCTAACACCAAAATTTGATATTTAGACTTGTAACACCTTGGTGTCATAAACCTATGCATGAAAAAATGTATTTCACTTTTAAAAATAAAATAATTATGGTATTTTTAAAGTGATATTAGAGCTTTTAATGGTATTCATGCAAATATGAATGTTTAAGTGTTGGATATGCAAATACATAAGAATTCTGGGGTATGCATGTAAATGCCCCAAAAAATAACACTTGAAATTGAGAAGCCAACAAAACATTCAAGGCAACAGATCAAAAAAAAAATAATTTTTTTTATGTAATAGCATAGCCTCCTTTCAAAGAAACTTTATTGGTTCAGAGCTTAAACTTGCAACTAAGAGAATTTGAGTTCAAACCTTGCAAAATAATAAGAAAAACTTTTACTAGGAAATCTCCTCCTCTTCCTGTTCCATGGACTTTGCAGCTTGAATTGAATTTTCTGAATTCAGCTTCTTCTCCTGAAAGATCTGTACAGGCGGGTGAGAGATAGTGACAGCAACAAGCTCCCCAGCTCTTGGAAGTTCAGGAGGCCACTGAACATCAACAGTCTCAATGAACGACTCAAATTTCATCAGTCTTCTCTTTCCCAACTTTCCACTGTCAGCAAATTGCAGAAAAGGGTGGACAATGGTGATCGCTTTCATGAAAGCGAAGACATATCGAAGCTCCTCTGCCGTAGGGTTCCTGAAACGATTTCCAGTAGAAGTACGCCGAGCGACATCTATAATCGGAAACTTATCACCGGTTTCTACATCCAATGATAGGGATCTAATCATTCTCTTTGTAGAAGGAAGCAGAAGGGATTCATGGATGAACACAACCCGTAAAAGCTCAACATCAGAAGCCGCGCTGGTTTCCGACAATCCTGTCATCTTTTGAGCATCTAAATCAGATTTAAACATGTGAAAGCCAAGATCGCCGCCATCCCCGCCGATGAATTGGGCGCAAGGGAAGGGTTGTTTCTTGCCTGACCAATCGAAATCTTTGCCAATCCGAAGGCCGAAGAGGTGGTGGGGACGAAGACGCTTCCATGGCTCGGTGCGGTACAGTGCGGCGGCGGCGCGGAAGAGGGATTTGATGAAGGCTGTGGGAATTCCATCGACTTTGAGGAGACAAGTGCCGGAAGTCGGGCCGAGGCTCGGACCAGAGCTAAATTGTTCTTGGAATCTGGTGAAAAGCTCTTTGAGGTGTAGATCCATGGCTGGGAAGTGGGGACAGTTCTAGGGTTGGCGATTGCAATTAAGAAGCACTAGAAGATTAAATCATAGCAGTTTCAGGTTGCGGGAGGAATCAGGGTTCAGTATTTGCATGAATGGTTTAGGAATCGATTTTACATTCCGAGGGGAAATAATGGAGGATTGAGGGATCGAAAGATCAGGATTTACCGTAAATGTTGGGGAAGGAAATCAATCTGGATCCAGAATCGCCCTAGCTGTGGGAAAAAATTTGCGTACATATGCAAAGTTGTATATGCAGAGTTGTGTACGTCTGTAACTTGTTAACCTACAAACAGGTTACAGGGAGAATTTTAGGAGGTTATAACCGCCTTATTCCCCCTGTAATCTCCCTGTAACCTACCTGTACCTTCGAGTAAGTTCCGCGCTTCTGTTTTCATATATAGGTAGGTTACAGGGAGGTTACAGGGTGTATAATGCGGTTATAACCTCCTGAAATCCTCCCTGTAACCTGTTTGCAGGTTACAGACGTACGCAGCTCTGCATACGTCTTATGTACGCAAATTTTTCCCCTAGTTGTGCGAGCTGCAGAGTCTGAAACTACACATTCAGTGGGTGTGAGATCGAGAGAACCCAAAAGGGACGATTGCTTGCATAGCACTCTAAACATTACTATTTAGAAATTTAGCTTTTTTTAATTCTAACTCAAATATTAAAATTCATTATAAAACCTCAATTATTTTTTTTTCCATTTTTACCAAATTCTTAATAGTTTGATCATGGCATGTGTACAAGCACCGTTCGCTAATTCAAAAAGTAACTTGCTAATTTTATAAATTGTAATATTTTGAGTGGTGATGTACATCAAATTATCTTAAAGAAAAAAATGTTATTAATATTTTTTTTTCTTACAATAATAATTTATTATATTTTTGTATTCATTTTTAAATTTTAATGCAAGAAAATAAATATGGTAAATGAGAAATTTAATTTAGGAAAATTGAAAGTTATCACGTGAGATGCTTGCTCGTTAATTTGCATTTATCTGAGGTAATATATTGAAGTTATAGTGGGAGGAATATCTTTTTTGGGGGATTTGCATAAATATCACCTCAAAATTTTTTTTTACATATTCTTCATCCTAAACTTCAAGTTTATGAATGTTGCGCCAAAAACCCATTCAACAGATCTAATTTTGCACTGTGTCAAGCCCTAGCCCTCTCTTGGTATACATTCTCTCATTTCTTCTCCTCCTGCACTAACCATGGTCTCTATTATTCTATATCTCTCACATTGAAACGCTAGTGTTTATCTAAGCATTCTCCAGCTTCTTTTGATATATTTTTTTTATTTTTATGAGAGTTTGTTGTACTGTTTATTCTCCTCTCACTTGCTCCATCTCAGGATGCCACATCCTCCCACGCAAAATCATCATATTGCTCTCTTGGTCCATCTGTATTACTTTCTGAACACAATATTTATCCTTCTCTTTTTACTCACATGTCTTTATGTGAGTTTATTAATCTAAGTAAATGTAATGATTTAAACTATTAATGTACTTGACTAAGTTCCAAGTAGCCCTTTATCAACATTTGTAAATTGTATTATCCATAGAAGCATAATTCTTTGTTAATGTACTAAATGATTACTTTAAAATATTTGAGCAATTTCAAAATTAAACTTTCAACATTTTTAAGTTTTAACTAACCCCTTAAAATAAATAATACACCATAAAAATTAACACTTCATGCAAGGATGAAAAATTATCTAAACTACAACAACATATAAGTTTAGAGACATTTAAAAGCCTAATTTCCTAAATTAATTACTATATTCAAGAAGAAATTTTAAATAAAAGTGCAAAAATTTATACCATTGAGAATAAAACTATCCAAGAAATGGATCTCTAATAGTTGTTGAATCAAAGGGGGTATAATCCTCACTTAATATGCTAAGTATTTACTTAAAATTAATTGATTCTTAGCTATATTCTGCAAACTCAAATCAATTTTTTAGCACATTAGATTCAATAGATTGATATTTGAATGAGCACATAATATGTAGGTACATCCAGATGTTATTATTAAAAAATCAATCAATCTTGTATTTTTGATCAATTTATATTTTAAACATTTTATAAGGCTTATGCAATTTACTTTTTTCTTCTTGTGTTCTCTATTTAATTTGGTATTTAGTAAAGCACTAATTATAACTCCTTAAAGTCTTAACTACCTTTTCAATATGAATATGGTTAAGTTTTGAAAATATTATCTACCATCAGGACTTAATAATCATTTATGTTTTAATTAATTTATTTAATTTTTAAAGGGTTCTTATTATAATTTCAGAATGGATAAATAATTAATTAACCACATAATTTTTTTGTTATTTTTTGTTTATGCCACTCTCATAATGATATACCTTTTTCTTTTTTTTTTTTTGATGCAAATATATAGTATGAATAAAATGGATGGGTTTTATATATGCATAAAACAATATGCTTGATGATGCTTCCATAAAATTGTGGCATAAGTATATGTTATTAATGTATATTTCTTATATGTGCAATTATTCTCATAACAATATCCTATATATTTCCAATTCTTTCATTTTTTTTATGTTTATGCCTTCTAACAAGCATTATCTACCATTAACTTTTCTTGTTATTTGTTATTATATGTGAACTTTAATGTTATTAATTAGGTTTTAATGTTCAAGATTAGTGTTTACAAAACTCAATATATATTCCTACTTGATTTTCAAGATCGTGAACAAGCTATTCATACTTTATATTTCAAATATAATTCCCTATAAAGTGACTACTAAAAAGAAAGAAATCAATTATCTTATGCACCCATAAAAAAAATAATGAAGAGAGAATGTGGAGGAGAAGAGAGATAAGAATGTTATAATTTGAAAATGAAATAAGGAAAATTTTTTGGTGCTTCAAAGGGGAGTGCTTAAGCTTATTCAATAAGAAAAACAAAATATTTTCTATTTTAACAAGAGAAAATTATCTTGGTTATAGTATATGATAGTTCTTATTTGGAACATCATAATATATAGGCAAATATTGTAACTTCAACAATAACATCTTCTCCACACCTAGCATTTGTATTTGTAAAAAAGCGGTTGTATTTTCTCTTATCAAGATAAAATAACATCTTTCAAATAATATCCATATTCATATATTTAAATTTTGTATTAAGTATTATACATCGTATACTATTTAAGAATTTAATAGATCATTTGAACTCTATAAAAGAGTGAATGTGAGCCATTTAAACCAAATCATTTAAAATTTGGTATTTTCTTTTATAGTGCTTGATCCTTTATGCACATGTATAAAAGAGCTCTCTTGTCTAAAATTTAATATTTTATCATTTATTCAAAATACATGTTAGAAATATTTGTTCCACTTTAAGTTCTTCATAAGAAACTCTTCTTAAGGTATAACTTCTAATAATGAAGAGTGTGATATTATAGGATTTCTCAAGGATTAGAGCTAAATTTTTTTCTTATATATAATCATTACTTAAGTATTTAAAGCTTATAACTAATTTTCACTATGGATTTTCTAATCACATTAACATTCCTTAGTTAGGATTTTTTTTCTTATATGAGATGTTTTTATTAAAACTTTTATTTCATATAGCATCAATTATGTTAAACTAAACTCCTTATATTTTTAGTTGACTCTTCAATGAAAATGTGGTTAGAACAACCACAATACTCTAGTGTGTGTTTTATTAATAAATACTTTAATTAATCTATTAAGATGTATTTTTCTATTATTTTAGTTTTTAAATCATTTTAAAATATTTTTTAATAAAGAATAAATACATACATTGAAAAAGTATAGAAGGATGATCTAATTTAAAAGATTTGAATAATTATTATGAGACTGTTATATGCTCGATTTACAAATGGTCTTACCATAATATAAAAAATTTCTTAATTTAATTAATATATTTTATTTTCATTTTTTTATGATAAATATGAATATGAAAATAAACGGTTAATGGTGGAATTGTAATTTCTCAAGAAATGGACTTGTGCTGGCATAAATTTATTTCAGATGTCTTTTGATATCTATTTTGCAAATCATTTCTACCTGAGTATCCTAAACATAATTATATATTTTATGAATATTTTTTCATAATTTTTAAAGTTTAAATCTTAAGCTATATAAGTTTTTATTTGAAGTTTACAATGAAAATCAAACAAATCATAATTATATAAATATGTCACTGACACATTTTTTTATATAAATTCCACTAATGGATTTGCAATGACTTTTAATTTCCAAATCGTGAGGGATTAGGAAAAATAAGAGAGAGAGAGAGGAAAGGAGAAGGAAGAACTTGGGGTTTGGGGGTTGTGACTTGATTTATGCACCAAGTTAATTGAAGAAGTTAACCCACTCAAGATAAACTACTGTTATCTTATCTTTGATTTTACTAATTTTGTCTTTTTTTGTGCTTTCTACTCATTTATAATCCAAAACTTACAAAATTTGTGATATATCTATATTTTGAAAATTTTTATTTTGTAATTTTTAATATGTTGTTATCGTAATGTCAGTTTTATTTTTTGAAAGGGACGGTGTCTTTATAGAGCCATACAAATTCAAAGATTTAATTATTTAAATAATCAAATACGTTTGTCGGCACTAAAAAGTTGAGTTATGAAGTTGTCGGCTGCTAGGATGGATACCCTAACACCCGTTTTAATTTAATTTAATAAATATAATTTTTATTTTAAAAAATAATATTTTGGATTTTGGAAAATACAAGACCGGACCGATCTCATATCCCCAGTAATTTATATAAATGAGTCTAATACCGCAAGTAGTGCACCTATCCCAAGGGATAAATACATTACTTACTGGTGAAGGCTCAAATAAATAAACTAAAGAATGTATGACATCCGTTCAAGTCTACAAAACCATTTTATGTTGACCGACAAATTCTCCTATTTAATACGAAGAATTAAAAAAAAATTAATATTAAGCTGGGTTCGGAAAATCTTCCTATAAGAGCAAACCCCTGTAGTTATCTAACCCCTATAAGGGCAAACCCCTATAATTAATTATATCTTAGATAACCGAAGTCACCTAAGAAAACTCTCGATAAAAATCAGAGGATATTATCTTCAAAGAGGTCAAATGGTTAGGACTTTTCAACGATATCAGACAAAGATATGTGAAAAGGGAATGACTCATGTTTGGAATATTTTATTGTAGAATCTAAAGAACGAAATAGA